CTCTTGGGCACAGACAAGATCAACTTTGATGAGTTCTTCAAGACCGCCCAGTCCATTCCAAACGATGGCGTTCGCGTTCGCGTTCGGTGGCTTTCGTTGGGTAATTATTGTTCGCGTTCGGCGAGATCCTTTTCCTATCGGCTCCTGATCTGTTATAAGATGCTCTTGTACGGTTTAAATGGGTTTTAGAATATGTTTCTTCTGTGTTTCAGTCATGTGGGAGACCTGGGGAACCTTGTCGATGGAGCTGCCAGGTGCGAGGACTGGTGGACTTGACTGATCGGGCGGGACGTCCCGATCGGCGAAAAGGGACGTCCCGATCGGCATGGTTTGAGAAGATCTGCCGCCTAAGACTTGAGAAGTGACTTGTGCCTCGTAGATGGACGGTTCAATTTCTGGGTGACGCCGTGGGTCCCCAGTCTCAGAAACGCTGTGGGTTTCGCCTTCGTTTTCTGTCCGGGTTGAGATCTGGCTTCCTTTGATTTGCTGAAAAGCATGGTTTGAGAAAGACCTCTGCCCAAAATGCCACCAGATGTCCACAACTAAGAGATCCCGATTCTTCAATTGACACGCTTAGAGAGTTGTGAAGCGCGTGGCTTTATGCGTTGGTGTGCACCATGGTGTGCACCATGCCAAGAAGCAGGGGCTTTCATTGTTGTGTGATCCACATTGAGGAGTCTAGGTGTCAACGCGCGACGTCCCCAGGTTAAGTTCCTTGACCGAGTCCTGCATTTTGGCAGTTTTTGGATGGTTTGGCTCCCCTCCCAGGAGGATGACTGCGAAGCTCAGTCCCTCAGATAAAGTGGATGACATCATGGGCCTCTTGGATGAGACGCCACGCCGATTGCATCAATCGACCACGAATACGTCGTACGTGAAGACAAGTGTCACATGTCCTAACAACATCACGGGCCTTTTAAAGGGAACGCCTTTAACATCTTTATTTAAAGAGATTGCTTGTGCTCCTCTGCTTCTCCACTTGGAACAGCTCCTTAGTGGGTTTCCATCCAGGACACACAAAGTTCTGAACAGATTAGAGAGCTTGGAGGCCAAGCCGTGCATGGCTTCTCAAACGTCGAACCTGTAGGTATCTTCGAGCTCTTTGACAATGATGCGACAGGCGGAGCAGTGGCCTGTCTCCGACGCTGGTCAACACCCATTCACTTTAGATCACTTTAGACTTTAGCATACTACTGGGTACAGCACTTGTATGCTGTCAGAAGAAGTTTTACAACAATTCGATGTGATTTGCTTTAAAGTTACATCCCAGAGAAGACCAGCAAACCTAGTCCGCCAGTGCCTGCAGATGTTCTATTTTTTTGGGTGGTTTGTACTTGGTCACTTCGGGTCACTTGTACTGGGTCTATGCAAGCGAACTTGTGTTTCTCTTTTTTGGAGCCACCGGGTCGCAGAAAGCGACCGGGTCGAAGACACGCCTCCACCGACCGATCCAATGCCGACGGACGAGAAGCGGAGAAGGCTGATGGAAAGGAGTAGAGTAGAGAAGCCTGATCAGTATATTAGAAACCGATTGAAAAAATCGATGGGTTTAGAGTCGCAACATTTTGAGATATGCCCCAGATCGGTCTAATTGAGGTTGAAACATGCCGTGCCCCTTCTCCAAAGTTGAAAGTGTTTGGATGCTGAGCCCTGCAGGCACCATCTCCTTCGAGAACATGCAGAACGTGGCGAGAATCATCGGAGCAAAAGAGCTGGGATGCTCAGAATCATCGGTTCTAGCAGTAAAAAGAAGCAGGACCGAACGGAGGTGGTTCTTCTTGGCCCGGGCGCCCGAAAAAAGATGAGGTTCTAGGCCTTTCAACATGAAAAGAGCTGAGGTTTTGCACACATGGGGGGGGATCAGGGAGATCACAGGATATCAATGGCATCAGATCGCAAGTTCATAGGATTTCACCGGGGTCCAGTTTAGAGGTGGGTTGAAAAGGCCGTGAGCCATCAAGGGAGGCGTGAGGCGTGAGGCTCTTGCCCAAGCGGAAGAGTTTCATCGGAGGGCGGATGAGCAGCCCTTCACCCGTTGCACTTGGTAAACCCGAATGACTCAGGCTCTCTGCCAATTTCTGAGGGCAGCCCTTTTCTCACCCGTGACCTGAGCTTTCACTTGCTCGTCCTTGGACCCCAAAACCACTGAGCCCTAGACTTTGGCCCAGGTGCTTCCCAAATTGAACCAAGAGCGACCTGAGCGACCTGCTACACCTCTACTCCTGCAAAAAAGCATTTTCACATGTAAATTACACCGTTCTGAATCTCTGAAGGCAACCTGCTGCCATTTTCCACCGAACTTCACCAGCCGATCATGAGGACTTGGAAGTTCACAAACCTCCTGCATCCCATTGCATCCCGAAAGTGTGAGAGTGAGGGACACTGCATCCTGCCCAAGGAAACCCGAACCCGGTGTTCCGAATTCTATGGTTTGTTTCATTTTCTTTCAGACGACCTCTCCATTCTTCCCATTCTTCCCATTCTTCCCAGCTCCTTGTTATAGAGACCAAGTCTCCGGAACCCCCCATTCCCAACACATCCGCCCCAGATCTTCCTGGACCCGTGCTGCACCCACCGCCGCCTCCGCCGACCATGGACGTTGGGGACACGTCCGTCCGGGAGGGACCCCGTCTCCGTGCAGGTCGCCCCAAGAGATCCAGGCGATGCTCAGCACCTTGGAGCCTCGGCCGTGGAGACGTGCGGGGGAGACCTTCGGGTGAGACGAGAGGATGCGAGAGGTGTTGGTGTGGAGCCAACGGCGGGGGGTTCAGCATGGTTCCAGCCGGTCGATGTTTTGAAGCTGTGAATCTTCGGGAAGCGCAATTCCTCTCTTGAAAGAGAAGCAGCCGGTGGCGTGGGACCGCAGATGGGGGTTTCTGTGTTGGGGTTCTGATACGGACCGTTTTTTGGTTGTTTTTTTAGGAAAAAGGAATGGAATTCTATTTTGGTGTAACATTTGGGACCTTGAGACTTTCACATTCCCCCAAGCAAGATCTTTTTCCCTCATCCGTCGGGCCAAAGCCACTGCTCAGAAACTCTGATTTCGTCCTCAAAGACCTGGAGAAACCACCAAAGCCGGAGAAACTGGCCGGATTGGTTTCTGGATCTTTGCACTTTTCGAATCAAACGGCGATTCTTTTCTTGGCCATTCGGCTGCTGGGGACGAACATGACTCTACGTGGAGGAGAATCCCCGGTATTCACAGAGTAGAGGCCCAGAGACATTCATCGTTCGCGTCAGTCAGGGTCTTTTCGGTGTGCTGGATGGCCTGGCCTGGTGGAAGAGACTCCGGAGCCTTGAAGGTCCTGAAGCCAAACGTGCTTGAATGAGCCAAAAGGGCGCCTAAAACCCTTCGGCACGCTCCGCTTTTGGAAGCTGATGACGATGGTCTCACGCTGGTCTCACGTGATGAACAAACCCTAGTAGCATCCTTGCTCCTAGTAGCGGTGCCACGAGCCCCGTTCGTAGCTTTTTTTTTTCCTAGTAGTAAGGCCAGGAGCCCCTAGTAGCCTCCTTGCTCGTAGGTGCGATGCCCTTTGCTTCTAACCCATTCCACCAACGACTATCTTTTTTTCTGAGCTCGATTCGCGCCAAGGATACTGATGGCGACAACGAGCTTGACCCCATCGACTTCTACACTTGCATGGGGCCCAGATGCCCTTCCACTTCGGGCGGTGGAAGATGCCCAGGAAACTGCGTGCAACGGGGGATCTGTTTGGGCATTGCCCCAGACGTCCCCCTGAACTCGAACAAAACACGGAAAAGTGCAAAGGAGAATGTTGTGATTGTGAGTGGGAGGGGGCCAGAGGGGGATGGTCCTTGTTTCTTCACAACCGTTACTGCCCAGCTTGAAGGGCTTTGCGATGCTTTGCTTGTTGTGTGAAAGGATCATTTACAGACTGTCCGACTGTCCAATAATTTTACTGTAACCAGCTTTTGAGGCATGTGAGGGTATGCACCGAGCAGCTACATTGATGTCTTCCAATTAAGTCCCTTTGAAGCTTCTCAGCAAAGTAGTGCAAGTCATTTACAGTCACATGGTATGGATGGTCGGCCCCACCACGGCAGCGCAGACAGGGTCTTCATGGGAATCGCGCACTCCTCATCTTTAGTTGTATCGTTTTGTACATTGCTTTGTATTTTAGCATATTTTGGCAGGTATGTTCCAGGTGGTGATTGGCACACTTGTCACCAGCAACAGGTGGGATAGCCTAGCACAGCACCACTCCTTTTGACCTTTCGACCAAAAATAACTTGATCCACGCCCAGCCAGGTCTAGACTACCAAGTCTAGACTGCCAGACCGTGCTTCGCGAAAACGCGCGCGAATTCGCGAAAACGCGCGCTGAGGTTTGGTGAATGGCATGCGGATCCGGATGGAGGAAGAAGATCGCCTGCAGCGGGAGCAAGCCGACTCGATGAGGCCAATGACGTGAGTCGGTTGATGGCGATGTCCTCCTTCCAACAGGTGGGATGAATGAGAACACAAGGTCAGAATGTCCTGGGTAGTAGTTGGGTTATGTTGGGTTCATCCAGAAAACCTCCTGACTAGTACCCTGATTCACCATGTCAGAGACTTTCAAGATTTTTTGGGCAACGAACAGTCCTACAGGACTGAGACAGGGTGAATTGCTCTACTTGGGAAGTTCTTGGCATAACGTCCCAGTACCAAAGTGTTCTTCTTGGATCTTCTTGGTGGGACATTGTGCTCCTTTTGGAAAAGTCGTTCAGGTCATGATAGATGTCCTAAAAAGGGAAGATGTTGACAGTGACAGGGCAGATCTGTGTAATTCTTAATGCAGCTGTTGAGTTCAACGCCTGTCACTCGGAATCTCTGGTTGGAGTGTCCTGGTTGGAGATTTTACCATATAAATATACTGAGTCTTGAGGCTGCGTAGGTCTTTTGGGTGGAAGAACAACTATTGCCCCACCATAAGCAAGGAGATGCAAGGATATGGTGTGCAAAGAAAGGTCACTAACCAGCAGTTTCAAAGTACTTTCCAGTCCTTGAGTGAGTGGATACTGGGCATTCCTGGAAGTTCTTCATTCATCTTATCTCTTTTCAAACCAACCACTGCCTCTTCCAGCTCTCCATCGTCCCCGTTTTCGGCCCCATTTTCGCTCCCCTCGCACCCATCGCGCGGTCAGGGAGCACATGGAAAGTATGGCCCGCTCGGGGCAGTCCCAGCGGAACATGTCCTCGGCTGCGATGTCCATGGGCAAGTGATTGGGCCAGCTGCGAGGGGTTCGCCGGTTCGGCCGCCGTATATTTGGACATTTGATGACAAGTGAGAGGAACACTTGGAATCACTGTGTGTGTGTGTGCGTGTGAAGAATGACAATGGCAGGATCACTGAGCCGGATGGACAGAATCATCAGACATCTAAACGTTGTCCAACAGAAAGACTTTTTGTGGAAATAAGAAGCGACCTCAAGGCTCAAGTCCTTAGCTCGCTCCTAGAATCAAAGAGGTTTGCTGCCCCTGAAGCAGTTTCTCCATTTTAGATAGCAAAAGTGAGGTTTGCAAGCCAAACTCCCAACCAATGAGTCTTCCAACGCGTGTTTTTGGGAAAAACCATCATCCCAACCCACTGGGTTGCTGGGTTCTTAGGTTCCAAGAGATTGCAAGCTCACTGCGAGTCGAATTCAGTGCTCAGTAAAGAAACAATCCTTGTACCACTTGAAATGCAGGGGCTTTGGAGTTTGGACTCCTCGAAATCCTCGAAACGCAGATGTCCAGATTTCTGAGGGGAGGAGAACTGGAACCCGTCACGGTGAGTCTTACGGCGGTCCGGTCCGACGTTCCGAATTGGCTCCTGGAAGTCGGTTCAGCTCAGCTGCAGAACTGTTGCACTATGCCGCACAGTGTCAGTTCTGTGTTAGGGAGCTGATTGCAAGGATCAAGTGGGGAGGGTGGCTGAACTACAGAGTCATGTCCATCCTCGTAGGAGCCATGAGTTCAATACTTCAATTCTTTTGACACATTGTTCGGAGTTTCACCCATTTGGATTCCTCCCTGCAGTGCAGTTGCATTTTTGATGCTCATTCGCCTCATCCAAATGTTTGAGGCATTGGGACGACGATCTTCTCCTGCCATGGTGTGCCTGTACCCTAAACATCCCTAAACCCCATAATTATCATCCTTGAATATCCTTGAGCTGAAATAGACAAAGCTTAATATTCTTTGATCGTGACTAGAACAAGCTGCTTCGAGCATGTCAACATTGGACCTTAGCACTCATGTGGCCGGTACCGCCTGCTCCGCGCAGGGGGTTCTCTCATATTTTTGCCTGGTTTCACTTGCTCCGTCGACGCGAAATGGAGATTGGTGGGTGGAAAGCAGATTCAAGAGTAGCAATAGAGAGGAACCAATTTGCATGTGGCAAGCACGCTTGAAGATTCAAATCACTTGATTGTGAGCTATATCACTTAGAAGGGTGCTATCAGAGCTACAGGAAGCACTTCTGTTTGCAATGTGGCAATGCAGTGTGACCTTGTACATATGAATGTATATATATATATATATGTGTTGCCGATGCCATCCACAAGGCGTTTCTCCATTGTAGCCTTGACCAAATGAACTTGGCCAAAACCGGCCAACTGGAGACGGGGACACATGCACGCTCCAAAAAGATGCGGAGCATCTCACGTTGACCGGCGGGACATCTCACATGGAGGGTACAAGTAGGGGCAAAGCTCAGCCAAACCAAAAGAGACAAACTAACGCTCTGCTCTTTGTCCAAGTTCTTTGCGGTGCTGGAGAGTCACGGAGTAGTTCACGGAGTAAATGTATTATAGAGTTACCAACACCAGTGGTTCACTGGGTGGTAAATATATGTAAATATGATCCCTCCAATCACCAAGTTTTCCGTTTGTTTTGTTTTATGTTTTGCTTTTTTTTTTCCATTGCTTGTGGTAGATAGAGCTGTGATACAGCGCCCTCGTCTCATTCAGTGGATTACTTGGGTGGTAGGAACCGGATCTTCTTCTCTTTAACCTCGCGTGACTTCTGTGACTCAGGCGGTGCTTGGAGAGACGACGGGGAGCGCAAAGGCGCGGCTTTCCAGACGCCCGGAGGTTGGCACGTCCGACCCAGTGGCCCCTCCGACACACACGCCTGTCACGTTGGAGTGGTGTGGTGCGGGGATGGAGTGGGAAGGTACCGTTTTTTTTTTTTTCTGTTGTGATTAGACGGATGATCTGTATGTCATGTCTACGCAACTTGACCACAGGACCCATTTTCATACAACCCCACTGCACACGGGGAAAAAAGCAACTTTTCATTGTAAAACGCAGTGCATGGAAGACATGCCTTAAAAGTGCCAGACAGCCGAAATGCTGTAAGGGTCATCGAAACACACATCGCGCCTTGGAAGAGAACGTGCGTCTCGCGTTTTTCATTCCTTGTGGTGGTCAGAGCTATGATACAGGGCCTACCTTGACATTTCAGTGGATCAAGCTTTTTCCCCAAACAGTGTGGCAACACCAGGGGTTCTAACGGTAACTGTTAAGGACGGGTGTTTGATCGAGGTGCTCGTATCCGTGTCCGACTATTTTGCTGAGATCTTCAAAGTGCATTTCGACTGCGCAGGCTCGCAGAATCTGGTGGGCCCGGAGCGAGTGCTCTTCGAGGCTGCGCTCTCGTTGTGGTGCCATGCACATTTTCGGGCTTGGTGATCACTTTTCGTGGCAGGCGCAAGGGAAACCTCGTGTTTGGTGGTCCAAAGTCGGACCTTGAAGTGCAGATTTCATGGGAGGCGCAGCAAATGTGCTGTGATATTGTGTGCTCAGGCATCTCCACCATCACCATCACGATGACCATCACCACCGCCATCACCATCACCAATACCACCACCACCACCATCACCACCATCACCGTCGCCGCATCACCAGCAGCAGCAGCAGCATCATCATCATCATCATCATCATCGTCACCAGCATCATCATCGCCACCACCACCACCACCACCACCATTGTTACCAGCGTCGCCAGGATCACTGTCACCACCACCATCACCACCATCACCGCTCTGGAGCCTACAGCGCCTAGATCTCTAGACCTTCTGTTTCTTTTTGTAGACCTTAGACCTTTAGACACTGCTTGGGGTCTCTTGCCGGGATAACTTGGTATTTTTGAGCCCGCGTGACTCGCGTGACTCAGGTGGTGCTTGGAGAGACGACGGGGAGCGCAAAGGCGGTTTGGAAACCCGGTTTGGGAACCGCACGTGCGGTGCCTGAGCGGTCACCTTCAAAGCCATGGCTTATCATTTTTGCCAAGGAACTCCAAACTTCTCAAGCGAAATCCTTCAAAAACTAGGGCATCGCGTTGATGGTTGATAAATGTTTTACCCCAATGATGAAAGAAATCAAATGACTACGGATTACGTTAAGAATGTCTATGACATGGTTTAGACAGGTCACGACACTTCTTGCAAAGATCTGGGTCTCCCTTCAATCATTCCCTTTCGCATGGTGAAATACTCATTGAAAACTCATTCGAAGCCAGGATCTGGAGACAGGCGGGTGTGAAAACACCACGCCTGGGGGTCGTGGACACTGAGGTAAAGGCGATGATGGACCTGCTGAGAGAGGAGGCGGCTCGATGATGTGAGTGTGTGATGGATGGATCTTTGCTTTCGATTCTACCTGGCAAAGATGGAACGACCATTGGCAAACAAGAAACAACATAAACAAATAGGAGAGCACTGGGAGAGCCGTTGATTGAACAGTTGGAGGTCTAGCCATGCTTAAGAAGGGGTGCATACCTCAATTTGTCACAGCCAAACGGATTGGTCAGAATCATGAGGTATCCTTGTTGGACGGAGTGGGAGAGCCGTGCCACTGGAACTGGGTCATGAAAATATATTGCCCATATGTATCACTTAAAAGAATGCAACCACATCTATACAAAAATCACAGGCTAGAAACAGGCTGGAACTCCCTGAAGAAGATCCAAGTGTCACAGTAAGACCATGTGTATATATATATATATACGCATGACATTTACAGCAAGACTGTATCATATCGTATTTTATTAATCATAGTGCCAAGAGGCAGTCGAGAAAGATCCTGGCCGCTTCATCTGCCCCATCCACTGAGGCTTCGAGGCTGCGGCTTCACCAGGCAAAAAGAGCGAGGGAATGTTTGTGGAAGGGATCCGGGTTTTGCAATTTTGGCAGAGGTTTTGCCAGAGGCTATGCCGTTTTGAAAGGGGTTTGCCAGAGGTTTTGCCAGAGGCTTTGCCATTTTGACAAAGGCTTTGCCAGAGGTTCTTCTGTAAAATCATTGTCATCCTGGCAGATTTTGCCAGAAGTTTTGCCAGAGGTTTTGCCTTTTGACAGAGGTTTTGCCAGAGGTTTTCCTGAAAAATCATTTTCATCTTGCAGATTTTGCCAGACATTTTGCCATGGTTTACAGTCTTCTCAGCGATCTGTGAGGTGCCCCTGTTCCCAAACTGGATGGAGCATCTCTGATGAGACTGTAGTTTGGAGAGCTCGAAGAATATACTCTTTGGTGTCTATCTTCAGTAGGCAAACCAGGGTTCGCTCATCCACTTGATGCTAGGCTAGCCAAGGTTGAACCCAGTCCAAACAAACTCATCGCATTCATCCTCAGTACCTGGAACCTATTTTGGGATCCCGGACCACAAAATACACCATTCACCCGACCTCTTTCTTTTTCCAATCAGAAACTCCTGAAAGCAGAGGTCTCTAAGGCCCTGCTTGGGTCCACGGAGGCCGCCGCCGTCCGTGGGAGGAGAGGGCGTTCGCCAGGTCCGGAAGAGCCTCCGAAGCGCGCCCGTGGCAGGCGACGTCACGTGACGTAGAGAGAGAGAGAGAGAGAGACTGAATGTAGAAGAGGGTGGATGATGCAAGACAGTGGATTGATTGGAATTAGGTGGAGACTGTTCTACCCAAAGCAGACCTCCGAACTTATTTAGAATTAGTTGCATTGATAGGGTCTTTTTGATCCATTGGTTGGGTTGATTGGGATCAATATTAGGTGGATTGATGGGGTATATCTAAAGGATTGGTTGAGCCAATGGTTCGGAGGGAATGAAGATGGCAGAGTTGGGCATGGATATTTTTGCTGTGAATGCTCTGGTTTTCTTGCAAATTGGATTTGAAGACTTAAACCTGTTTTTGTCTCAGTGGCTTCCCAAAACTCGGAACAAAACTCGAGCCATTCCTGGTGGAAACCACACCAACCGCTTGAGTCAAACCGTTCC